GGGTGTCATTAGTGAACGCACTTCCCGAAGTAAGTTTCTTTTTTTTCTCGCATTCTATTTCAGTGCCGGCTCGTCTCAATGGCCCCTCCCATTTGCTCGCTCACCTCGGCAAACTCCACGCATGCACAAGAAGGAATCTGGTGCCCTTGAGATTCACTGTTGACAGCGGCGCTTCGAGTGCCAACTTTTGTCCCCCCCCCCCCCCTCCCCCAAACCTCAATTAGCAGGTTGGTCAGTGGGTATGGGAGAAATCTGCGTTATGATACAGCGCACTACCCATTATGCTCGCGGAATCTGGGCTCTCACCATGAATGGGATTTGGCGTGCCAGCCGCCGCTGAGCAGGTCGCCAGCGCAGTTTCGCTGATCTAGCCTACAGCCTCCACGCGAAAGGGTCGCTACTCCACCGACCCATGTTGATCGGCGTTCCGTCCGAGGGGGACCTGGAACGGTTCTCGAGCTTGTTTGGGTCAGGAGCCCTGTCGACCTGCCTATTGTAGCCTCTCTGGGCAGAGAAAATTCCCGGTATTTCGTCAGTGTACCTACTGTACCATTCACATACATGGTACATGGTACTCCGACCTGGGGAGTTAGCAGCTCAGATGACGCTGCACCGTTGTCGGCCTGACACCGACATCCGAAGTACGGAAGCTCATCAATTCGCGTGCGACATCAAGACTTTGGTGTCCCCCCCTCCCCAGGTTGACTAGTGGATGAATGGTCCCAAGATCCTCTCGCGAAAGCATCGGAACTAGGAAAAAACCTGACAGAAGGCCGACAATGTCGTCCTTCTTCCACACGCAACCCTTCAGACGGCAGTTGCGTGCGGGCCTGCTTCCAGACACTTGTCAGCAGGGTCCAGACAACACGGGTATGATGCGAGTTCTGAGGGATTTGCACTAACGAAAGACCCCCTTACAACTCTGATTTGCCAACTTAGCATCCAAGGAGAGAAACTCTAGAGTTTTCCCGTGTGGCTATACCCAACCCTCACGGAAGAAGCCTAATGCTGAGGATGTCTGGATAGTCGGCAGATGACGGAGGCCGGCTCTGTGGAAGCGAAGCTCTCCATCCATGGTATTCTCCACTGTTCCGCGTTGGCCACAAAAGCTCCGGTGCAACAGTGCGGCTAATAAGGGTGCATGCTATATAGACAAGGATGGTCATTACCAAGAGTGAGAGAGTCGCCGATCTTCTACCACGGTAGAGACGAGAACAATCGTTGATCCCGTAGGAGAGAAAGAATGTGTTGCATATGATCCTTGTTAGCCAGAAAAGGAAGGCCGGCCTGTACAGCACACCGTAATATGGATGGCTGGCTGGCAATGAGCGCGAACGATTCACCATTGCCACGGGGATCATCAGTCTTCGAGTACATGGTACTTGCAGCGATCAGGAAGCTTGAGGGGCGTTTGTTGAGGTACCTTGGCAAGCTTGGGTACCAGTCCCGGGAGAAGCACGGATGATGACTTAAACGCAGGGACATGATCGCTGAGATGATCGAGGCGGTCCCCAAATGTGTCAAGGTCCAGGTATCTGCCGACATGCTATCCTGCACGCTTGGGGAAACGATCGGTGGCACCAACGGCTTGCCATGAATCAAGGAGATGAGGACAGCAGCCGGCAAGGGCGGAGGTCAATCGCTTGGTACGAAGCGCGTCGCGTCAAGGTGCCATGCGATGGCTCGTCAAGGAAGCGCTGTCTTGTTCGCTCTGCGTCGGTGTGTCGCTTGTGGCTCCTGGCGCCGCTATTTCAGCGTGTACTGAGGCCAGAGGTTGAGGTACCCTTTGGCTGGTAGACCTGTGGCCTGGCCGTCAATTGTGTCTCAAGTTTGACAG